AGGAGTGGCTGGTGGGTTTGAACCGCCAGCCTTCTGGTGAGCAGTCAAGTGCCTTAGGCACTATGCTACCAGAGCTCCTATGTATGTGTATATGTATATATATGTATAAAACTTACTGCCGTCAAGTTGGTCCTGACTCATAGTGACCCCTCCCTGGGTTTCCGAGGTGGTATCTCTATGGAAATAGATTGCCCAGTCTTTCTTCCGAGGAGTGGCTGGTGGGTTTGAACTTCCAGCCCTCTGGTTAGTAGTCAAATGCCTTTTGCTTATTTTATATAAGTGAGATCATATGGCATTTGTCGTTTGACGTAGATTTTGAATGTTAATGAATTGTTCTCACTGTCCACAGCCTGTGGCCCTCCTGTCTTTTTTTTTTTTTTTTGGTTTTCCAGGAAGGGGGTCAGTGAAGTAGTAAATCATTACACCAAGACAGTGTTTCCCTCACAAGATCTCACTGAGTGACACTTATCGGTGACACTCTCAACTACACAGACACAACTCTTGGTGTCAATACTAAACTTTGCTTCTCTCCCCAATTTCCTTCATCCGCATAGTTGTCTGTGCACATGGAGAGTAGAGGAATAGGATGTCTTTCTCAAGGATGCTTTTCCTAAGAAGGGAGCTGCAGTACTTTTTCATTGCCTGCTAAGGTCTGCCATCTTTTATTTCCACTCCAGGGGAAGCCTTATGTCTTTGATCGTGTATTTCCCCCAAACACGACTCAGGAGCAAGTTTATCATGCATGTGCCATGCAGATTGTTAAAGGTAATATAAGTGTTTTTATCCTTTTTTATTAAAAAAAAAATTAATTTATCATGACAAAGTTCCCACAATGTAAAATAAACCATTTTAAAGTGAACAGCTCAGTGGCATTTAGTACATTCACAAGGTGGTGCAACCACTAGATGTGTTTTTTAAATATATTTTTTCAGGCTCTCCATTTCCTACCTGACTTCTCTCCACCTGTGTTCCTTCTCTTCCATCTCTTCCAGATGTTCTTGCTGGCTACAATGGCACCATTTTTGCTTATGGACAGACTTCCTCAGGGAAAACTCATACCATGGAGGTGAGGACTCTGACTTCTGTAATGGGTGAGGAGTTTTAATAGAAGGCCAAGGAATCTCAGTGGGGAAAGATTGAAGAATTAAGGGCTGACTGACTGGTTTAGAGGGAGGTGGGCACAGAGGAGGGATGGAGGGGTGATATCCCAGTGGGCATTTAATGGAATCCCTTCAGCCTTCTGCAGTTTACTCTCCTGTGCTAGTTTTCTTCTTTTGATGTGGAGACGCAGCAGCAATGGAAGTCCTCGGTTGTCCTCAGTTGTCTCCTCCTTCCATTAAAAGGTCTCCTAACTTACAATGGTCTTCTTATGACTATTTCCACTGTGTTCACCTCTCACTTGTCTCGTTCTTCTCGAGCCCCAGCCTCACTGTCAAATGTCCTTACACCTCAGGGAAAGCTGCACGACCCCCAGCTGATGGGAATCATTCCTCGAATTGCCCGAGACATCTTCAACCACATCTACTCCATGGATGAGAACCTTGAGTTCCACATCAAGGTGATAGGGCATGACAGCTGGGCATCTTCAAATGGGCACTGGGAGACAATGATCTAGAGTGAACCCAGTGAAGATCCTAGGTACCCCAACTGGTCACCTCTCCCTCTGGTTACCTCAGCTGTCCTCTACCAACATGTCTTCTTCCATTCTTTCCCTCCTACCACCACTGTTTGAACAGGTCTTATTAGCTTGGGATTCCTTTATCAGATTTGAGATAGGCAATCTTCACGTCATACTCTTTCTTTTTCCCTGATCAGGTTTCTTACTTTGAGATCTACCTGGACAAAATTCGTGACCTTTTAGATGGTGAGTGGTGTTTAGTCTCAGTGGGAAGCATGTGCGTGAGGAGGGTGAGGAAAAGAAATGCCACATTGCTCTCGGGGTTAGGTTCCTGTCTTAGTTTCTTAGTACTGCTATAATAGAAATACCACAATTGAGTGGCTTTAATGAACAGAAACGTATTTTCTCACAGTTTAGGAGGCTAGATGTTTGAATTCAGATTATAGCTCTAGGGGAGGCTTTCTGTCTTTTCTGAGGAGAAAGCCTTTCAGCTTCTCTAGCATCTTCTAGGTAGTCCTTGGTGAACTCCACCAAGGCATCTATCCTTCCACCACTCTCGCTTGCTTCTGTACCTAATCGCCCTTTAGATCTCAAAAGTGATTGGCTTAGCACACCATGCACTGATATGACCTCATTTACATAACAAAGAAAGCCCTATTCCTAAATGGGATTATATCCACAGGTGTAGGGGTTACAATTCAGGACACATAATTGGGGGAGACACAATCAATCCATAACAGTTCCACTTGGCAATAGATGCAGAGGGCACACAAGGACACACACGCTCACACCTAAGTCTTTTTGTTCCACATGCACCAAGAATTTCCAAAGGGTCAGAAGATGAGTTTAGGGGCCCATGCCTTAATATGAACAGCCTAGGAGGAGCCAGTGCCCAAAGGCTAGAATCCTGGAGGAAGGGGAGACACTGAGCCTTCAGCTCTTACAGGGAGTTTAGACCTCACAGGGGAGTCGTCTTCCCTTAGCGCATAGAAGAAATTTCCATCTGAGTGACTACAGGGTGTATGTGTGGCAGGAGGAGGGACTGGCCTTCCTTACCCTGTATTGTCTTTATACAGTGACCAAGACAAATCTGTCTGTGCATGAGGACAAGAACCGGGTGCCATTTGTCAAGGTAAGCATGGGGGTAGGGGACACCCACATGGTACCAGTGTATTGAGAGTGTGGGTGAGGGAGGAGATCAGGTCAAGGGCCCAGAATTTGGAGAGTGCATATCCTGGAAGGGGGAGATTTTGCCAAGGAGCTGGGGAGAGGGTGGGGGCTTGAAAAAGACACTGTCCTGGAAGGTCATTGTACAGGCAATATAATTTTCAAGTCAATATTTATGAGCCACTGTCCATTTGCCCCCGCAGGGTTGTACTGAACGCTTTGTGTCCAGCCCGGAGGAGATTTTGGATGTCATTGACGAAGGGAAATCGAATCGCCATGTGGCTGTCACCAGTGAGTGTGGGCTCTTGAGTCTGAGGGTCTGCCTGTCCTTTGTGCCCTCTGGGCCTGAGAGACTCAAAAGTGAGTAAGGAAAACTATCCTTCAGAGAGGAGAGACTCACATCTGTGTGATCTGTCACCTGGGAGATGTGGAAGGGCTGGGCCTGGCAGGCACCCTTTCTCTCAGTGGGTGGGGAGGGACAGTCAGTAGAAGCTGGGGGCTGAGGGCTCCAGTCCCCCGGGAGTTTGTGCAGACACTGGTTCTCCTTTGCTTCTGCAGACATGAATGAACACAGCTCTCGAAGCCACAGCATATTCCTCATCAACATCAAGCAGGAGAATATGGAGACCGAGCAGAAGCTCAGTGGGAAGCTGTATTTAGTGGACCTGGCAGGAAGCGAGAAGGTCGGGGTCTTAGAGGGCTGTGGGGGCGGGTAGAAAGGAAGCCTTAGGGTGTCTTTTTAAAAGTTTTATTGTGGTGAAAATATACATAACAAAATAAATGCCGTCTCAACAGTATCTACATGGACAATTCAATAACATTGATTACATTCTTCAAGTTGTGCAACCATTCTGACTATACTTTTCCAAATCATTCTGCCACCACTAACATAAACGCAGTGCCCTCTAAGCAAAAACTACCCCTTTCTCCCTCCCTTCCACCCCCACCCTAGTAACCACTAATAGTCTTTGGTTTCTGTATATTTTCTTATTTCGAATAAGTGAGATCATACAATTTTTGTGTTTTTGCAACTGACTTATTTCACTCAGAACAATGCTTTAAAGGTTCACCTGTGGTGTGGCATGTGTCAGGACTTCATTTCTCTTTATCACTGAATAGTATTTCATTGTGTATGTAGATCACATTTTGTTTATCCCTTCATCAATTGTTGGGGTGACCTTATTATTATTTTTAATTTTTATTGTGATTTGGGTAAAAGTTTACAGAGCAAATTCATTTTCCATACAGCAGTTTATACATATTTTGTTTCATGACATTGATTGCAATTCTCCACAATAGCTCTCTTCCTACTTCCTTCCTGTAGTTACTTCTTCCCTGTGTCCTTCTTTCCCATGCATTCTTCTTCCCTTTGCAAATACTGCCCATATGTTCTCCCTTGATTGATAGCTCTAAGGAGTGTATCTACCTGAGGTATACCTGAGGCATACCCTATATGCCTGCCTGTTATTTGGCTGGAAGCCTCAAGAGTGAATTCAGTTCCAGACATAAAGGGTGACTAGAAGCCATAGTCTCAAGGGTCTCACCAGACTCTTATCACACCAGTAAACTCAGTCTTTTTTTTTTTTTTTATGATTTTGAGTTTTGTTCCACATTGTTCTCCCACTCTATCCAGGATCTCCTGCACTGATCCTTTCTAAGTGGCTGATAGTGGCAGCCAGGCACTATCTAGTTTCTCTGATCTCATGGTAGTATATTCTGAGGTTTGTGTAGTCCACTAGTCCCTTGGACTGCTTGTTTCCATGTGTCCTGGTTTTCTTCATTCTACTTTGCTCTGGATGAGAAAAGCCCCATTGTTGCATCTCTATGCCCACTTGCAAACTTTTAAGACCTTAGTTGCTACTCACCGAAGTAAGATATAGAACAATGTTTTTGTGTGGTATGTTATGCCAATTGAGCTTGATGCCCCCTGCGACCATGGTCCCGAGTCCACAGGTCCAACTACTCATTCCCCCATGGTGGTTGGCTGTGTCTAAGAAGTTGTCATAACTTTGCCCCTTGTTAGTTAGCTCTATTACTTATGTAGACATTCCTACAGCACATACAAATACATATGTAGAAATATCATCTGCCAACCTTATATATGATCATGGGTATATTCCCTTTTGGGGGTGGCCTTTTTTTATTTGGGAGCTCTGGTGGCATAGTGCCTAAGCCATTTGACTGCTAACCAGAAGGCTGGCAATTCAAACCCACCAGCCACTCCTCAGAAGGAAGGTTGGGCAATCTACTTCTGTAGTGATACTGCCTCAGAAACCCAAGGATGGGTCACTATGAGTTGGATCCAACTCGACAGAAGTGGGGTTTTTTTTATTAAATTTTTTTTAATTGCAATATTATCCATATGCCATAAAACTCACCATTTTAAAGTATACAGTTCAGTTGTTTTTAGTATGTTCACAAGATGGTGCAACAATTACCATTAATTCCAGAACATTTTCATCACCCCCCAAAGGAATTCCATACCTGTTAGCAGTCACTATTCCTTTCTTCCTCCCCTATCCCAGAAAACACTACTCTACTCTCTGCCCCTGTGGATTTACCTATTCTGAACGTTTTATTTAAATGAATCATGTAATATGTGACAGGGTGACCTTTTTGCAAGAGTTTAGGGGAACAGAGGAAGGGCCTTCCTAATGCCAGTCAACCTTCTCTCTCCTTGGACTGAGTACTTCTAAGCAGAGAAGAGGTGGTGAGAGGCCTCTCATGACACACTCATCCCTTAATGCCCTGGTAGGTCAGCAAGACTGGGGCAGAGGGAGCAGTGCTGGATGAGGCAAAGAATATTAACAAGTCACTGTCAGCCCTTGGGAACGTGATCTCTGCATTGGCTGAAGGCACTGTAAGTGTTCCTCAGGTGCCCCTGACCCCTCAAGGCCTACCCCATCTCCCCACCTTCTCCTAGTGTCCCCATCTAATTATGCTCCAGTTGATGGGTTGCTTGATCATGGCACCATCATCTTTGATTCCCCTGTCAAATTTTTTATTCAAACTCATGGTCTCTCTCCTTCTCCTAGAAAAGCTACGTTCCCTATCGTGACAGCAAAATGACACGGATTCTCCAGGACTCTCTGGGAGGAAACTGCCGGACAACTATGTTCATCTGCTGCTCACCGTCCAGTTACAATGATGCAGAGACCAAGTCCACTCTGATGTTTGGGCAGCGGTCAGTGGCAGGCTCTGTCGTCCAGCCCTGTCCCCCTCTCTCCCCTCAATGTAGTTCTCATCTCTTTCTTCCTCTTCTCCTCACTCAGGGCAAAGACCATTAAGAATACCGCCTCAGTGAATCTGGAGCTGACTGCCGAGCAGTGGAAGAAGAAGTATGAGAAGGAGAAGGAGAAGACAAAGGCTCAGAAGGAGACGATTGCAAAGCTGGAGGCTGAGCTGAGCCGGTGGCGCAGTGGTTAGAGGGGGCTCTATGGGTGTGAGAGGCAGCGGGTCAAGGAGGTAGCTTAGGGAGCCAGAGACAGCTCTGTTTAGGGTGATGTTTAGGGTTTGGTCAATCTCTGAGAAGGAGGGCTATGTTTCTGGAGGTGTGCGGTAGGACTGGTAATGAGGGAAAGAAATGGGGAGAGCTAATTACTCCCCTTTTTTCCTCCCAAAAAGGTTGAAAGCCCACTTGGCAAGAGAACTAAAGGGTGTGGAGCTCTTGGTGCTGAGGCAGGAGAGAGGAAGGACTCGTGGGTGCTGCTCTGTCCCCTCCCACCCCTTATCTTGTTCTGTCCCTTCCCCAGGAGAGAATGTGCCTGAGACAGAGCGTCTGGCTGGGGAAGATGCAGCCCTGGGAGTGGAGCTCTGTGAGGAGACACCTGTGAATGACAACTCCTCCATCGTGGTGCGCATCGCCCCTGAGGAGAGGCAGAAGTACGAGGAGGAGATCCGCCGCCTCTATAAGCAACTTGACGACAAGGTGAGGGCAGTCATGGAGGTGCACTGGGATGAGCCCAGTGTGGGGAGAAATGAGAGATTCAGATAAGCGTATGCTGTCTTTTTTTTTTTTTTCCCCTGATTTTAAAAGTGATATATGCTCATTATTGAAAATGTGGACAATAATTAGAAATGTATGTAGGAGAAAATTAAAATCAGCCCTCATCCTAACATTGAAACAGTTAACATTTTGCCTTTCTCCAGGCATACACCATGCAATTGAAATATGCTGAATATGTAACTTATTATCTCAATTATTTTGCATTCAGCAATATATAATGAGCAGTTTCCTACTTCATTAACAAGTCTTCATGGAAGTACTTTTTTTTTTTTTTAATTGTGATTTGGGTGAAATTTTACAGAGTAAATTCACTTTCCATACAGCAGCTCACATACACTTTGTCTCATGACGTTGACTAATTTACCACAATCCAACAGCTCCCCTCCTACTTGCTCCCCATAGTTACCTCTTCCCTGTGTCCTTCCCTCCATGCATTCCTGCCCCCCGAGCTGTCTCCCTGTGTATACACAGCCCTTCTCTTCTCCCATGATTGTTCTCTCCAAGGAGTGTATCTACCTTGTGTAAATGTTCAGCTCGTATGCCTGTCTTTTTTGTTTGACTGGAAGCCACAGGTGTGGGTTCAATCCCAGACCTGAAGGGCAGCTAGGGGCCATCATCTCAGTGGTTCCATTAGACTCTCTCAGAGCAGCAAACCTGGTCCCTTCATGAAAGCACTTTTAAATGGCTGTCCCTTTATCAAAACATATTTAGTCATTCCCTTAGTACTGGGCTTCTGGATTTTTGGGTTTTATTAGTTTTTTCCAATTACAAGTAACACTGAAATGAACATCTTTACTTTTTGTGCATAAGACTTTGCTTCTTGAATGACTTGATTAGAAAATATTGCTGGAGTGGGATTTTTAGGGTAAAGGATACAGACAATTAAAAGTTCTTACATATATAAATTGGCATAACATACTACATAAAACATTGTTCCACCTCCTACTGTGGCGAGTAGCAACTGGGATCTTAAAAGATTGCAAGCAGCCATCTAGATGCAACAATGGGTATCTCCTCATCCAGAGCAAAGAAGAATAAAGAAAACCAAAGACTCATGGAAACAGTTAGTACAAGCGACTGGTACACTATGCGATCCTTAGCCTATACAACTATGAGACCAGAAGAACTAGATGGTGCCTGGCTACCGCTGTGAACCACTCAGAGGGGGATCTATGTAGGAGATCCTGGGTAGAGAGGGAAAACAATGTGGAACAAAACTCAAAATCATTTGAAGAAAAAAAAAAAAGGGACCAGGTTTGTTGGTCTGATGGAGCCTGGTGGAACCATTGAGACTATGGCCCCTGACTGCTTTTCAGGTCTGGAATTGAACCCACTCCTGTGGCTTCCAGCCAAACAAAAAAGACAGGCATACCTTTACACAAGGTAGATACACTCCTTGGAGAGAACAATCGTGGGAGAACAAAAGGGCTGTATATGCACAGGGAGACAGCTCGGGGGGCAGGAGTGCATGGAGGGAAGGACACAGGGAAGAGGTAACTATGGGGAGGAAGTAGGAGGGGAGCTGTTGGATTGTGGTAAATTGTAGTCAACGTCATGAGACAAAGTATGTAAAAGTGAATGGAAAGTGAATTTACGCTGTAAACTTTCACCCAAATCACAGTTTAAAAAAAAAAAAAGTTCTTGCATATACAGTTAAGGGTCTAGCAACTTCCAGGAAGAGAGGAAATTTATATATATATATATAATTATTTTAAAATGTATTTATGGACTGGTTATTAGGAGCTTCCTAGATTCTGTATATATATTTTTTTGTTTTTCTTTATTATATTTTGTTGCTATTGTTGTTAAGAATATGCACAGCAGAACATACACCAGTTCAACAATTTTCACCTGTCAGGAAGAAAAGAATTTAAACGTGAGGGCAGGAGGTAGAGGAAAGACTGAGGAAAAGAGCTCTTTTTAGGGTATGCAGTTTCTAACTCAAAGCCTATAGTATCTGAATTTTTACTAAGGTTCTACCTCTACAACCCATCTCATAACTCTAAACTGGAAGGAGTCACTTCCTTTTACCCATCCTCCCCCTTGCCTCCAACAGGATGATGAGATCAACCAGCAGAGCCAACTCATAGAGAAGCTCAAGCAGCAAATGCTGGACCAGGAAGAGGTAACGGGAAGCAGTACAAGACATGAGAACACAGGGGTAGTGTTCATCCCCGAAAGGCATAAAAAAGACCATTTTAGAATAAGACAGAGGAGAGGCATTTTGCATAAGGTTTCGTCACCTCCCCAAACTACAGGAGTCTGGTTACTTAATTGGGGCTTTTCTTAAAGCACAGATTTTAGAGTATAGGTGCTTCTTCATTCTGGTCTAATTTCCTTTAGCTGCCCTATTTCTATGAAGCCTACAGCCCACTTCTTGACTTTTTCTTTGGCATTTGCTTCTCCCCTATTGCTAAACATGGGTTGGGGGGACTCAGCCTTCTAAGACCAACGAGCCGTAAAAGTGGTCATCAGAAGCAAGCTCCTTGGCAAAAAAAAAAAAAAAAAGAAGAAGAAGAAGAAGGTGGGGACCAGGTTTGCTGGTCCAATAGAGCCTGGTGGAACCACTGAGACTATGGCCCCTAGCTGCCCTTCAGGTCTGGAATTGAACCCACACCTGCGGTTTCCAGCCAAACAAAGTACAGGCATGTGAATTAAACATTTACCTCAAGTAGACACACCCCCTGGAGAGAACAATCATGGGAGAAGGAAGGGCTGCTTATGCACAGGGAGACAGCTCAGGGGCAGGAGTGCATGGAGGGATGGACACTGGGAAGAGGTAACTATGGGGAGGAAGTGGGAGGGGAGCTGTTGCATTGTGGTAAACTGTGGTCAATGACATGAGACAAAGTATATGTGAACTGCTGTATGAAAAGTGAATTTGCTCTGTAAATCTTCACCCAAATCAAAATAAAAAATAAATTAAAAAAAAAAGAAGAAGAAGAAGAAGCCAGCTCCTCCCATGCCTCATTCTCCCTTGCAGCTGCTGGTGTCCACCAGAGGAGACAATGAAAAGGTCCAGCGAGAGCTGAGTCACCTGCAGTCGGAGAACGACGCTGCTAAGGACGAGGTAAAGGAAGTGTTGCAGGCTCTGGAGGAGCTGGCTGTCAACTATGACCAGAAGTCCCAGGAGGTGGAGGAGAAGAGCCAGCAGAACCAGCTGCTGGTGGATGAGCTCTCTCAGAAGGTGGTGAGTGGCCTGCTAGTGGTCCGAGAGAGCCTTGACCGTGCTATCCTCTGTGTCCAGGGGACGACTGCTTCCTCACAGGGCTGTGTCACATTTGTACCTTTGCACTGATGTGCAGTATGCCACGAGGCCCTCCCCTTCCCTGTCACTGCATTTTGCTCTCTGGCCCTCTTTTTTCCAGACCCTTCCACAGGGCCTGTGTCCTCTCTATAGCAGCCCCCAGGATCATGCATGAAGGGAAAGGCCTCTGCCAGGGCTGGGGAGGGGAGCAGGTAGATGGCAATGGGAATGATCGGAGGTGCTATCCCAGGCTACCATGCTGTCCCTGGAGTCTGAGTTGCAGCGGCTACAAGAGGTCAGTGGACACCAGCGAAAACGAATTGCTGAGGTGCTGAATGGGCTGATGAAGGACCTGAGTGAGTTCAGTGTCATCGTGGGCAATGGAGAGATTAAGCTGGTGAGTGGGGAAAGAGGCAGAGACTTGTCCAGGTCATTCTGATCCTAGGCACTGGTGGGAGATGCCAGGAAACAATCCAGGCCTTCAGCTATTCTGAGGCAGGTGGGCCAGAGGCCCAGGAAACATGGCTTCCAACTAGACACAGGAAAACAAGTAGAGCTTTGAATGGACACCACTGAAAATGCACATTCTAAAGGATGCTGGATCAAGAAGCAATGGAGGTGTGCTTGTAGCAGGATTTAGAGTTAAAAATGACATATGCAAATATATGGAAGTGGGGGTGACCAACCTAGGTGGTCAAAAAAATCAGTTTGACTACAAAAGAAAATCTAACTGCTTTATAAGATTAAGAGGGGTGCTATTGGAATTGGATCCTTAAGTGCAGATGATAGAGAAATACCAAGTGACAAGGAACCACTAATGGTTGTTCAGAAAATACCTGTCCTATCTGAGTTCCTGCAGGGTGGGGGTGGGGGAAGGGCAGAAAAAGAGGATGAAAAGTCTCTCTGCAGCAGAGAAGCACCTCTTCGCTCCTTTGCCACCCACAGCCGGTGGAGATCAGTGGGGCCATTGAGGAGGAGTTTACCGTGGCCCGGCTCTACATCAGCAAAATCAAATCCGAGGTCAAGTCTGTGGTCAAGCGCTGCCGGCAACTGGAGAACCTCCAAGTCGAATGTCATCGCAAGATGGAAGTGACCGGGCGGGAGCTCTCATCCTGCCAGCTCCTCATCTCCCAGGTGAGTGCCTGAGGTGGAGAGTCTTTGGATGCTGTGGGAGAAAGGACTGCTCTATGGTTATGGAACAAAACTCATAACACCCATCATATGTCAGAGTCCTAGGATTGACTGAAATCAAGGACAGGAGAAGAGCTTAGGTAGCAGACTGGGGGAGTGAAGGCTCGGGGGCCAGAAGGTCTCAAGGAAGGGTCTCCAGAGGAGTGGACCTCAAGCCTGCATCCTTATGAAAGGCATGATAGAAGTGGGGCATGGGAGAAGAGCTGGAATTTATGAAGCTCTGTGCTCCCAGGAGCTGTGTTGTCCTTAGCTCCATCCTTTTTTTCCTCTCACCAACCCTTCCTCCACTAGCATGAGGCCAAGATCCGCTCACTTACAGAGTACATGCAGAGTGTGGAGCTAAAGAAGCGGCACCTGGAAGAGTCCTATGACTCCTTGAGTGATGAGCTGGCCAAGCTCCAGGCCCAGGGTGAGGTTTTCCTAAACATCTGTCCCACCTGTTCTGGGGCCTGAGATCCCAGGGAGGACAGGGAGGGAAAGTAGGTGACAAACATTAAAATATACAACCCAACTGCTTTGTCACCAAGTATCAACCTGAAATCATGGATGCCAACGCACATGCCATTGAGCCAAGTTGCATGCCACTTACGTTGCTCCATTGTTCTCTGTCCCTACTATTTCAAATTGGACTGTCCTAACTCAGAAAGACCTTCCTGTGGAGCCCTTCTGGGCAGCTGTCCCTGCGCTGCCCAGAGCTCTGATCATAATCTCAAGAAGTTCTTTCTAGAGGAGGTAGAAATTATGTGAGCTGGCTTTCTCCCTTCCCCTCAGAAACTGTGAATGAAGTGGCCCTGAAGGACAAGGAGCCAGACACACAGGATGCTGATGAAGTGAAGGCGAGTGGGGGAGGTGTGGGAGCATTTGGGGCTGGCAGGGGGAGTGCTGGGCTGGCCCTTAGCAGCTATGTCTGGAGTCTGGCTTTGAGCTCAGGATGGGATTGTTTGCAGAAGGCCCTGGAGCTGCAGATGGAAAATCACCGTGAGGCCCACCATCGGCAGCTGGCCCGGCTCCGGGATGAGATCAATGAGAAACAGAAGACCATTGATGAGCTCAAAGAGTAAGGGTTCCCCTGGGCGAGCTCCAGGCTCCACCTAGTCCTCTTACCTTACTGTCTCTCAGATGCTCCCTCCTGGGCCCAGGATCAAGTTCTTTAGCTTCCCTGTGTCATTCCCTCAACAATGACACAGCTTTGCAGGCCACTTCAGGAGATACAAGGAGTTAGGACCAGGACTAGCCTTGAGGTTCCCATAATTAGATATCTCAGGGTTCCTTTCTCTATCATGGAAACAAAGACCTAAGCCTGCTTCTGATATCCAAAGGTAGATGCATCAGTTCTAACTGAACTCAATAGTACAAGAAGAAGGAATACATTTTGAAGAGTTGGTCTTCATTTTTCCTTCATTAACATCTTCCCACCCCACCCCCATTCCTCCTTACCCTCCATAGCCTGAATCAGAAGCTCCAGTTAGAGCTAGAGAAACTCCAGGCTGACTACGAGAAGCTGAAGAATGAAGAACACGAGAAGAGTGCCAAACTACAGGAGCTGACGTGAGTGACGGACCTGCCTGCAAACCTACAGCCGTATTGGTTCAGAGCTGCCTACCCAGACACCCTTGCAGAGGCAGGACATGCATGTAGACATGAATATCGTGACTCACAGGAATCAAATGCCTCAAAAGATATACTCAGTGGGGTGGGGAAGGGGAAAAAGAAGGAGACTATCAGAAATGATCACTGTTGAGTATTTGCTGACATAGAAAGATGTTTGTGATGTTCTGTTAAAAGCAGGTTACAAAACAGGATGAATGGCATGATCTTTTAAAAAAAATTTTATGTGGCTACATATATATATATATATAGAGAGAGAGAGAGAGAGAGAGAGAGAGAGAATATCTCTGGGTGCCACAAATGACTAATCACTGAACTACTAACTGATAAATAGGCAGTTTGAACCCACCCAGAGATGCGTAGGGAGAAAGGCCTGGCAAACTGTTTCACAGTTTGAAAAACCCTATGCTCTGCAACACATGGGGTCGCCATGAGTCAGAATCGTCTCCACAACAACTGCTTTGCTGTTTGGTATTCAATAAGTCTCTGGGTTACACACATCTGACTTACAGACAACTCCTACCTACCCTTTAACGTTATGTAAATTTGCCCTCACTGAAACGAATTCTTCATCACAGTCACCTTTACTTGCTGCTCATGAAGCTTTTAAATCAGTGAAAAGGTGTCAAGCCTTTTCTTGCACTAAAGTAAAGCTAAATAAGAACAGTATGCACCTGTTCCATCTTACCAGCAAATTGAGCTTAAAAGTCACTTGGGAACAGACCTTGTTTGAACAGGACCACCTGTATGTATGTGTATACACACACACACATGTGTATGTAGAAAAAAACAGTTGGGAAGTAAGGACACCAAAATGTTAATGAGGGTTTCATCATGGGCTTTTTATGAAAATTCATTTTACTTACCTCTTTTTTTTCCCCCTAAATGAACATGGGTAACTTGTATAATAAAACAGGAATAGAAGGAATGGAATAAGGGAGAGATGGCGGAAGGAATCCTGAGGGGTTTTTCCGTTTCCCTCCCTCTCTCCACCTCTGCTGCCACAGATTTCTGTACGAGCGACACGAGCAGTCCAAGCAGGACCTCAAGGGCCTGGAGGAGACCGTTGTAAGTGGTATCTTTCTATGCCGAGTTACAGAGTGAAGGCAATTTGCGTTCTACTCCCTAATTTCCTCCTCACCCCATTCCTCCTGCCCATCTGCAAATGGTCTGTGGCATATTCAGGACACCTTTTCCTAAAGGATGAGTGACTCACCTGACCACATCAACTGAAGGTTCTAATAATTTTGGAGGGAGAAGGTTGACCTAGTATTTGGCTGCCCCCAGTTTTTCATCATTCTTTCCAGGCCCGTGAACTCCAGACCCTCCACAACCTTCGCAAGCTGTTCGTTCAAGACGTCACGACTCGAGTCAAGAAAGTGAGTGCCATCCTCAGGGTCTTCTCCAATCCCTTGCTACCTGCAGTGGGGCTGCCTCAGCCTGGTCTGGGTAGGACCTGTTGGGGCTTGGCCTCAAGACCGTCACCTCTCTCCTTCTGTCTTACACCAGAGTGCAGAAATGGAGCCCGAGGACAGTGGGGGGGTTCACTCCCAAAAGCAGAAGATTTCCTTTCTTGAGAACAACCTGGAACAGCTTACAAAGGTTCACAAACAAGTAAGAGTGGGGAAGGGCGATGAAGACAATGCTTGAAGCCAAGTTCCAGGATGCCCAAATCCTTGGTGGTCCCTTGGATTTAGAAAAATCTAGTTGCATGTTTTCCTTATTTCTCCCTTTTACTTTCCCTCCTGGTCTCTTATTTATACTGTTTCTGGTTCCAGTTTTACCTGTACTTTGTTCCATGCCTGTTTTCCCTTCTCAAAGCTCCCAGCCCACCTCTGCTAGATGTGGAATTTCTCAGCCCTGCCTTGGAGGGGGGAGCTCTGGTAGCATAGTGCCTAAGGCACTTGACTGCTAACCAGAAGGCTGGCGGTTCAAACCCACCAGCCACTCCTTGGAAGGAAGGTTGGGCAATCTACTTCCGTAGTGATACTGCCTCGGAAACCCAAGGAAGGGTCGCTATGAGTCAGGTCCAACTCCATGGAACATAACAACAATAACAACAACCTTGGAGGGAGGAGTCCCTGGAGTGGGGCAATCAGTTAGGTATTGAAGTATTAACCAAAAGGTTGGTGGTTTGAACCCACCCAGAGGCACCTTGGAAGAAAGGCCTGGTGACTTGCTTCTGGAAAGTCACAACCTTGAAAACCCTACTGAGTGCAGTTCTATTCTGCACCCATGGGGTTGCCAAGAGTTGCCAAAAAGTTGCTTTTGTATTTTTTCACCTTGGAGTGAGAGTTTGAACCTAACAGATGTTTAAGAGGCATGGTGCTACAACTGTACAAGAGGGATGCTAGCCAGACTTTAGCCCAAGGTGGAAGACAGTGAGACAAGAAGAACCAAGGGACCTGGGTCAATCGAACTTTCTCTTGCAGAGAGCACTCCACCTGCCTAGGCCTGGTGCAGGCATGCAGGGAGGTTAATTATGTCCTCCAGATGGTCCACACAGCCCCTGGTCAGGGTCAGACTCCTGTGTATTAAGTTGCTGCCTCTCTGTCCCCCTCCTTGCTGCTGCGGTTCCTTAGATGGCTGACTGGGTTTCAAAGGTATGGGTGGGCGGGTAGGAGGGGTCATCCAAAGGAGTCAGGACAGGAAATGTTTGGTGCGTACAGAGCAGGAGCACCCTCCCTAGCGGTAAATGTGTGAGCCTCAAGGACTGGCTCAGTGGTCAACTGGCTTTTAACTGACTCATCAGATAAACTCTCCCTAACCTCTACCTCATTTGCTTCTTTTCAAATCCACCTTAGAATTCCACTGAAACTCACACTCTCCATAGCCTATGGCTTAAAATTCTTTTCTCCCCAGTGGGATGCCTACCACATGTAATAAATAGTACATTTCTTTTTTGGGATGAAAGAATCCCAGCCCTGTGGCCCAGTAAGAATCTGCAGGATTGATTTACAGGAAAACCTGCAAAAGCTAGAACGTGTGTAAGGCAGAAACCTGTCAGAGAAGGAAAGCTAAAATATTTTCCATTAAAACGAGTGATACAAACGTGGTAAGATTGTACCCTATCAAAGGCAGGAAACCTGAGAGACCCAGGAAAACAAGTTCCAGCCCTCAGTTTCACTACTTCATTTGGGCCTGCAGATGGCTTCACTGCTACCGTCTCTTCCCTTTGCTGTTATTATTATATTATTATATAACAACAAAACAGAAAAGTGCAAAGACATAGGGGGAAGGAGGAGGAAATAACCAAAAAGGTCAGCAGTTCGAATCCAGCAGCCCCTCTGTGGGAGAAAGATGAGGCAGTCTGCTCAAGAGTACAGCCTTGGTAACCCTATGGGACAGTTCTACTCTGTTCTGTAGGGTCACTATGAGTCAGAATCGACTTGAGGGCAGTGGCTTGGCTTGGGTTTGGTGTTTACTTTCCCTCCCTGTCCAAATGCATATTGCTGTTAAAGGAATTTTTTCCTCTGGGAAGCCACAGGCTGTTTTCTTCTCCCTCATTAAAGCCTTTGCCTCTGCTCCAATAGCCAAAAACTACTGTAACCTATAGAACAAATAGGGAGCTATGGTAGTGTAGTGCCTAAGACACTTGACTGCTAACCAGAAGGTTGGTGGTTCAAACCCACCAGCCACTCCTTGGAAGGAAGGTTGGGCAATCTACTTAGTGTGATGCTGCCTTGGAAACCCAAGGAGGGGTCGCTATGAGTCCGGTCCGACTCGATGGCACATAACAACAACAACAACAACCTCATGGAGCAGTTCTATTTTGTAACTCGTAGGGTTACCTTGAGTTGGAAACGACTCAATGGCAATAGGTTTGTTTGTTTGTTTTATAGAATAAGTAAAAGATCCACAATGTTCTGCCTTAGCAGACACAAGCCTAAAAAGGGAACCCACCAAAAGCCAAACCCAATGCCGCCAAGTCAATTCTGACTCATAGTGACCCTGTAAGACAGAGGAGAACTGCCCTGTAGGGTTTTCAAGGTTGTAACTTTTTATGGAAGAACACTGCCTCATCTTTCTCCCAAGGAGCAGCTGGTGGATTTGTACTGCTGACTTTTGGGTTGACAGCTGAGTACTTTAACCACTGCACCATCAGGACTCCTTCCAGAAAGGGAAAGGAGAAAGATATAGAAACTTCTTAGTTAACAGATTCTCTTACCAGGCCTATTACAAAATAAGCTAAACTAGCGTCATAGCGGGAGCTCTGGTAGCGTAGTGCCTAAAGGCACTTGACTGCTAACCAGAAGCCTGGCGGTTCAAGCCCACCAGCCACTCCTCAGAAGGAAGATGGGGCAATCTACTTCCGTACTGATACTGCCTCGGGAACCCAAGGAGGGGT